AATACATGATTTGTTTCTCCTGAATCCGGCCTGTTCCGGACGAATTTTTTCATCCAGGGCTTGTTTGATTCTCTCCAGGATGATGCGACTGAGTATCTTGCTTGGAATGGACAGAAGCATAATTCCACGCCAGTTTTTACATTGACTTAAGTCTCCTTTCTTTGGAAGTTTGAATAAGTATCCGTTCTTCCAATCCTCGGGTACTTTGCCCTCTTTCCACACCTTCTCCAGCAGTGGTGTCATCAAGTCCGCTGTTGTCTCTGGGTCTATTTTCAAGGCCTCTGCTGGGATTCCATCATGTCCCGGTGTTTTCCCAGCTTTAAGCATCTTGATTGCATTCAGGACTTTTGATTTCGTCGGGGGGTCAGTGTTCACTGCTAGCTCTGCTTCCGTTGTTGGTATTGTTGGGCGCGTTGTAGGTGGCGGACGATTTAGAAGTCTTTTGAAGTGTTCAGCCCAGTGCTTTCTCTGTTCCACCTCTTCGGTGATTGACTTTCCATTGTCATCCTTGACTGGCTTAATCTGTGTCAAACGTTTGCCTGATAGGTGCCTAGTTGTTTGGTAGAGTGTGGCGAGGTCTCCTTTGCCTGCAGCTCGTTCTGCTTCGTTTGCCATGGTTTCATAATATTTTCTTCTTCTTCACTCTTTTGTTCAGTGTATTGTAGCTTGCATTCATCGCTTCTCGGCTCTCTGAGCTAAGATCATTTTAGCCTAAGCATGCAATATTTGGTACTAATGTACTTTCCGGAATATGATAGAGAAGATTTGTAGCTAAAGTGTATGATTTTGATGTGGTTATGTTCTCTGAGCCAGCTAGATAGTTAATTTGCGAAGCTTTCATCGCTCTACTAGGCAACATCTTCAGCGCATACTTCAATTCGAACTGAAGTGAGCTTTTAGATTTCTTCACGAGTTTATTAGTCATCTCTCCTGATGGGTGATGTTGAACGTGATTGGTTGAGTTTTGTGTGTTTTCACACCTTCTAGGTTACTTGTATTGCAACTGATTGTTTCTTTGACTTGAACTTTGACCCTTTGTGTGTGAGGTTTCTTTCTTATTGTTTGATAAATGTTGTCTATCTTGATGTGTCTATTGATTGGTGATTCACTGGAATACCGGGCAGCCTTCTAACAATTCTCTAGCATTCTTGTTGTTTTCTCTGCGTAATATTTGAACGTTGTCCCCATCGAAGTGATATCCATAGTTGTCTTTATGTAGTAGTAGTGATATGAGGGAGTGGATATCATGTCTTGTGACGACTAGTTTATGTTATTAGATACGAAGACGAAGGGGACGTTCAATTTGGCTAATGTAGTGTTTTTCGCAGTTGTTATAACTAACGTTTTAGATGATGTTGGTTTCATCTTCTTTCGCTGTTAAGTCTTTTGGTTGACATAGAGCCAGCTGAGTGAAGTGAATTTGTGGGTTTGTGTACGACGTCAATTCCTAAAGGTTTGAATAATCTTGTAGTGATATCTGAGAAATCACTACATTAGCCAAATTGAACGTCCCCTTCGTCTTCGTATCTACGAACATAAGGTAGCCGTCAAGAGACATGATATCCACTCCATCACTCATATCACTACATACAGACAACCACGGATATCACTTCGATGGGGACAACGTTCAAATATTACGCAGAGAAAACAACAAGAATGCTAGAGAATTGTTAGAAGGCTGCCTGATATTTCAGTGAATCACCAATCAATAGACATATCGAGATAGACAACATTTATCAAACAATAAGAAAGAAACCTCACACACAAAGGGTCAAAGTTCAAGTCAAAGAAACAATCAGTTGCAATACAAGTAACCTAGAAGGTGTGAAAACACACAAAACTCAACCAATCACGTTCAACATCACCCATCAGGAGAGATGACTAATAAACTCGTGGAGAAATCTAAAAGCTCACTTCAATTCGAATTGAAGTATGCGCTGAAGATGTTGCCTAGTAGAGCGATGAAAGCTTCGCAAATTAACTATCTAGCTGGCTCAGAGAACACAACCACATCAAAATATTTACAGAATACAAACACTTCTTATCAGGCATTCTCATAATGTTCTTCAAAGTGAATTTAAGAATGTAAACACTGTTTCGTCTTCTCACGCTGACTACTTGTGATTTGAATTTATTGGATGTATTTCAGTGTGATATGTTCAATAAATTATGCCAGAATGCTATATACACTTCAGAAATAATCCTATCAGATTTCATTATTGTTCCTCAACGAATTGGTTGAATGAATATCTGGGAATCGCTTATTTTAAATCAGATTGAATTAATCTATGCAGCTTGTTGAATGTCTGTTTATATTCACAATTGTTCGACATGCACATCACTTCTCTTCTACATCCTCTCAATGATTTCTTTATTATTATTATTATCCCTCTTGTCTGTTTGTTTTCAGTTGATTTTGTTGTTTTATATCATGATCAGATTAGATTAGTGTTCGTTTTGGTTTTCTGCATTTCGCTCTGAGTACAATCAGCCATTTCAGTGTACGGGTTTGGTTGGGATAGTTTATTGATTTTATAGCATAGCGTGATGTTATTGTTGTTGAGCTTTATTCATATCTGCTTTACACAGGCAAAATATAAGAATGATTCATAAGGACTGTTTTGCCCTTCTGGTTTTTTCTTTTCTATTCTCATGTTTATCGGTACAGATATATTGAAAATGTTTCTAGTATTTTCGGATTCTAGAGAATAATCAGAAAGCTTTAACGATGGGAATTTGTTTTAATTGCAGTCAATTATTTCACCAATGTCTCACACATAATGAATAGTAGTTATTCGACTTTATCTCAGGTGTTTTACCGGAGGGGGAATTCACGTGGTGAATACTTGTCAGGAGGGTTTTATTTCTATTCTGCCGTTGAATATTTTTTAAACTGAGACTCAGACATTGTACATATGCTGACATCGGTTACAAAAACATTGGAAAACCGGCCGAGAGTACCGGAAAGTTGTCTCGTTCTAGTTTATGACTGTCCAGCAGCACGCACCCATCGGGTTACTAACCCAAGATCATCTGGTTAATAGGCGAGCTTGTAGACCATTAAGCCGCTCTGACCAGATCCATGGGCCTAATAAATTCCAACTTCTACCAGTTCATGACTTACGGTGACTATTAGCCAGTGTCATCCTTGGACAGTACTTGTCCTCGCATCCAAACTGCTCTATTCCACCAATCGACGTCAGCTCACGATGAATTCCTGTAACCAGTCAAATCGAATTCCCGCAAACCAACACTTGAATATCAACTTGATGCCCAATAGCAACTGGCCCTATTCAGGTAGGTAGCTAACTGCATTCTAGTGAGACATTGTGACCATTGTGGTATAGTAGGTTTGGTGTGAGGACGAATGCACGTCACGGATGACACTGGCCAGTGGTTGCGCTATGTCGCGAATCGGCAGGAGTTGTAATTCACAGGCTGGCCATCGCATCAGCTTCCAGTTACTGAATGGTTTATGAGCTAGTCCTAGGACGAAACTATTTATCTTTTTATTTTATTTTTGATTGCAGCTTGATTCCACGCTGTATTTGTGATACAAGTATGGAATTTTCAGCATGGATATCGGTAGCCCAAATTTCGCAGGCCGACTATAGATATCAGGTGTGCGTCGGCAGAGGATTGAACCTCGGATCATGTGCATAGTCGGCGAGAGTCCTAACCACTGTGCCACCGACGCATACGACGAAACAGCTGTCCAGTACTACCTGGAGTTTCCCAATCGTTCTCTAACCGATGTCAATTGGTGCTGAAAAATTGTAATCAATCAAATCGAATTCCCGTAAACCAATACTAATTGCGGAAAGTAATGTCTCCTCTTTGAATTTCAAACCGGTGCCATCCTGTAAGAGCTATGTAGGCTCAAGATTGACTTCCTGTAGGACTGTAGTGCTTTCAAACAGTAAACTCTTATCTCCAGATAAAATATTGCTGGGATGATGCGCTATTGTTTCAAAATTACATACGTATTCACAAAAAGTTTTATTTGATATTCTCCACTGTTTATGAATCAGTGAAGTCAGATCCCGTGAGTCATTGGCTAGCTGGTGGAATTCTCGCTAAGTATGCAGGTAACACAGGTTTGATTTCCAACCGCCGCAATTCTACTCATTATCTGTGAGAGAGCTAGCGTGATAAAGGGAAGTGTGGAGTAAAGTTAACAGCCCTAGCACATGGAAAAATACAACACTTGCACCAATGAAACCCAAAAGCTTCAGGTTTATGATGTTTCGCTTGTAATGGAATAGATAATAGAAGAGTACTTGTTAATAGTACGACAAAACGCTGATTATATCATAGCAGTGTAGAATAACGGTGAATTAGGATTTAACGACAGTCCCACATTTAAGAAATTCAGCTGTCTTTCACTGTTCTTCTTCAAGAAACGTCGCTTGGATTCTCTTCTGACATTCTTTTTTGCTTCATTGTCAGGCCATTTTGAGCTGTTAGGTATTTTTTAAACACAAATTTTGTCAAAAACTGACAGTGGTTAAGAAGTTATTGAAAGCTAATGAAGTTAAAGATCTTCAGTAGTACCCAATGACGACTTTATCAGTAATTGGATCTAAGATGGCGTGAGCCTTGTACTCGGCATATAGGAGACAAGTGCGAATCTGAAGGAGGGAATTTTCTGGATAATCTTTATCTTAGAGTAGAAAATTGAGGTAAACATCTGCGTTGTAGATCCACTATCAGTGTTATTCTAAAATAAAAAGAATTGAAACATTTTCGAATGCTTCATTTTATGTGTATTTTTATCGTATGTTATCCCCCTAAGAAATAATTAAACGAAAGACACTGGAAGACTGCATTCATTATACAGTCAATACGAGAAGGTGACGTTCTTTTACCTGAAATGAGATTTCATATCAGGCTTTAAAAAGAATGTGAATTTAACCTGTAATCATTGTGTCAAAATGCTGTTTTATCCATGTGTAAAAACAATCGCTTGAAATAATTTCTTTTTTATTGCCCTCTCCTAGTAAAGATGTGCGTCTTCCTGTTCAATTGCAACGTGCTATGGCAGCAGAAGCTGAAGCAGCCAGAGAAGCTCGTGCAAAAGTGAGTCGAGTATTTGTGTATCTCCCATTGACAACAATTTCTAGACTGCCTTCACCGTCTATAGAGAAACAGACAAACTATAGCTTGATGTGAAAACACTCTTCATTATTTCATTAGGCATGCATCTAAGTATATTTTTTATTCATAAGTGCATGTAGCTGTCTGAATGAACACAGTTGTACTATGTTTAACTTTATTGACGTTTCTCCATATTTCTTCCCTCAAGAGAAGAAATTTAGAACAAAACGACTAGAACACATGTATCAGAATTATATCAGCTCTGGATATCATGGAAAAGATTAGTAGCTCATGTGGATGATTTCGATGTAGTTGTGTTTTCTGAGCCATCAAAAGACATGACATCCACTCCCTCATATCGCCTCCCTGCATACAGCCAACCATGGACATCAATTCGACTAGGACAACCAACGTTCAAATATTAGACTGAGGAAAAAAACAAGAATGCTAGAGAATTTTTAGAAGGCTGCCTGGTATTCCAGTGAATCGTCAGTCAACAGGCACATTGACACAGACAAAATTTATCAATCGATAGGAAGGAAATTTCACACACAAAGGGTCAAACTTCAGGTCAAGGGAACAGTCAACACCAATACAAATAGCCTAGAGGGTGTAGAAACACACAAAAAATAACCAATCATATTCTTGGTCACCAGGAGAGATGACTAATAAAACCGTGGAGAAATCTAAAAGCTCACTTCAATGAATTAAATAAAGTATGCGCTGAAGATGTTGCCTTGAAGGGCAATGAAAGCTCCGCAAATAAACCATCCAACTCAAAGAACACAATTGCATCATAGTATCAGCTCATTCTGTATTATTATTTCTCTGTTCTTTTTCGACTGTTTACAAATTTAACAATGCACAGTATACACAAATTACAATAATATTAATAATAATAATAATTTAAAACATTTAGTTCCCTTTATGAAATTAGACAAAACAATAAGAAGATGTAATTTGTCTGAATCGCGTCATTTATTGGCGCAACACATTTCGAAAAGTCAGATCACACACAGACTTGTCATGGGAATATATGTAAAAGTAATAAAGAGTTAAGAGATGAGAAAATAAATTTGGGCTAAGTTGGAAAACCACGCTGAATGTCAAAATTATAATGAAGATCACTAAACCAAATAACAGAGGCAGGTAATAGTACATCTGTTATGGTGTCAAAACAAAGTTTACCAAGTAAGGACGGTTTAGCGTGATGAACGCATAAAAGTGGTTTAAACTTCCTGATTGCTATCTAGAGCTTCCACAAACATTAAGAAACGCTCCAAACACGTTTTATATAGATAGATTTAAAGACGTGTAAACACCAATTTTATATCCTGTCTCTATCATGTATTTCGCAATAGAGGAGCTAGGTCTTCTGGATGGCTTCCGGGGATTCTACTTGCTTCTAGAGCCATTTAGGAATAATGTTTTAAATATCCTTTTGTAACTTTTATAGGAACTATGGCTGACATGTTTCTCGAGTGGTTAAATTACTAAATATTAAAAGGATTTTTTATTGGTGGATGGTGACTAGCAGTAGAATCCAGGACAACGCGCATTTCGTCCTATTTGGGACTTGTCAGTTGGATGTACCTGCATTTTCCAGTGAGTGATGATGTTCCCATCAAGACTTGAATCCAGTGCGCATAGTTTCAAACGCCATCCTTCAGTCATATTCTAATTAAATGCCCAGACATCGTCGAAGCATCTGCACAAGAAGACGACATGTCAACCTGAGACCAAGCACTTCGGTCCAATCAATCGACGGAAAAATCTTAAATTAAATTAAAAGGTTTGACTATTTATAGAAAACCTATACATATATGCTTTAAAAATAAATAAGTTAGTAGGGTTCATACGTTTGAATAGCAGTAAATTTTAGCGAGAAAAATAAGTAAGTGGGTTGCTATGATCTGTGAAAATATTGCTTTGAAGTAGGCAGCAGAGTAAGGTTAATCAGTTTCAGATGAGGAATTAAATTTCTTTAAAAAAGGAGAACAGAAGATACAAACGAATATGTGGAGTGTAAAATTGTTTTGTGAATATAATTGCCAGAGTTCTGTACAATTCAATATGGTTTATTGAGGACATCAAAGCCAGAATCGGAAAAGCAAGAAACGCTTTCATTACTCTCAAATCTGTGTGGAGGTCAACAGCAATCAGCATCAAAAATAAGATCCGGATTTTCAACTCCAATGTCAACTCAGTCGGTGCTACTATACGGATCAGAGACTTGGTGAGTCATAAAGAGCATCTCCAACAAACTTCAGACCTTCATTAACAGCTGTCTCCGCTCAATACTACTCAAGATCAGATGGCCAGAAAAGATCAGCAACAGGGATCTCTGGGAGCGAACCAATCAGGAACCGATTGTGAAACAAATAGGCAGGAAGAAATGGAGATGGATTGGCCATACGCTGAGGAAACCATCAAGTGACATCACTAGACAAGCCAGTGCTCGAGTGGAACCCGAAAGGGAGGCGGCGAGTTGGTCGTCAGTGCAAGGGTGACTTGGAGGAGGTCATGCGAGGAGGAGATGAAAGCATGTGGACAGACCTGGAGCAGGGTGAAAAAGTTGTCAGAAAACCGAAGTCAATGGAGGTGCGCAGCTGAAGCCCTATGTTCCTCTAGGAACTAAAGGATACAATAATAATAATAATATTTGTGTGTTTGTGTAAAAATTTAGTTTTTCATCGTTTATGGGGGGTTGTTTCACTAAAACTTAGATGCCTTAGTTTCTCTTTCTTAGTGAATATTTAAAACGCTTACGGACTGTGCACAATATGGACTGTATTCGAAAGATGATGTGTAATCGCACTGTTCAATTATACTGGCCTTATTTCGAAATCATGTAAATTATAGTCTGTAACAGTAACATGCTGTCAGCGTGATAAAACCTAGTTTGAAGTCCATTGCTTAAATAAGAGAATACTTAAATACCTACCAACCAAGATCCTGTTGGTCGACAGAAATTCTGAAGTAAATGGACATGGATCGTGTTTACGCTGAAAAGTCCTATTAGTGGTATAGCTCAGCGGGCCTTCCGTCGGAGTGTTAGAATTCCAAGAATAGGTAAAGAGGAGTAAATGTGAAGAGGAGAATAGAGTTTATGGTCAATTGTAGGGTCAGCTAAATAAGATTCCAGACAATACGATTACATGTAGAAGTGCTGTTGAAGCCTTGTGCTTCACTCATAAGCGAAGGTAGTTATTATTGTATTATTTTTTCCTTTAATTCCTGAAGGAACATAGGGCTTCAGTCACACATCTCCACTGCATTCGGTTCTCTGCCAACGTTTTTACCTGGCTCCAAGTCTGCCCACACGCCTTCGTCTCCTCTTCATAGGACCTCCTCCATGTCACCCTCACACTGACGACCGACTGGCCACTTCCCTTTCGGGTTCCACTCAAGCAGTGGCCTGGCGTGTGATGTTACCTGTTGGTTTTCGCAGAGTATGGCCAATCCAACTCTGTTTGTTCCTGCCTCTTTGTTGCACAATCGTCTCCTGGTTGGTTTGCTCATTGCCAGAGATCCCTGTTGCTGATCTTTTATGGCCATCTGAATAGAAATTCTAAAGGCAACCGAAGGGAATAATAATAATTTAACTTCGGAATAAGGTTAAGTCTAACTATATTCTTCAGAATCACTTGGTATACACATTAATGAGGCTTCTCCGCTGTAGGTTCGTTGATCCTTGTAAGGCCGATCAATTCTAATAGTGGCAAGATAGAGAGTTAAATGGTGGCTGAGCTTATTGACTACTTCACTTACTTAAGAAGTCACATTAGCCAGCTCCATCGAATTGATCGCTGAGAAATCCTAACACGGATACAGAAGGCTCGCTTGGCATCTGTCAACCTGCATCATCTCTGTCTTAGACGTGGTATCCAGATGGCTATCGATCAAAGGATGTGTGGGCTGCACAGTAGTTTACTTCGTCCTCCTTTATGTCTGTGAGTGAGACGTGGCAGCCAATGAAGTTAGAAGACATGAAAGCGCTTGTTACCTGTCTTTAATGATAGTTGCCTTCGTTCTATCTCCTGTGTTAGATGGTATAATAGGGTTAGTAAAATCGAGGTTTAGCTTTGTTCGAGTGCTAGGTGTGGAGGGAAAATCAAACTATGTGGTTGTTAAGTTACATCGATTAAGATGATTAGGACTTATATATTCCACATGCCTAGTCGTCTGTTGCATTCCTCAACACGAAACATTAGTTAACTCAGGATGGATGAAGTTGCAAAAGAGCTAGTGGTTGGTCAAACCAAAACCAGCATGGCTTCATCGGTCAATGAAATCCATAACAGTTGGTCTAAGCCAGGCATTCGCGTAGGGAGGTGTCGACTTCCTAACTAGTTCGGGTCCTCGAGATGGTAAGAACCAATGAAAGCTATAGGCAATTAGTGATATGACTCAAACTCGTTCTTAACTGTTGATGCAGACACATTCATTCTTTGTCATTTGTTATATCTAATGCAGCTGTGTTGTTCTTCCATGTTACTATTCTTTTTTGCTCACTCACACTTATGTTTATTATCTGTCTCGTTCTGTTTTGAATCTCTCTATACTCCCTTCCCTTGCTCTGTTTGCTACATGGAGGGCGAGTGATAAGTTGAACTGGTGCACATCTGTGCAAAGTTCTACGTTGAAACTAGTCAGTCAGTCGGTCAATCACTTTTTAACTTTTAACTTTAACGTTCTCTAAAAATAATATGACTAATCATCTTCCTTTTGCATTCCTTCATTTTCTTTTCTCTCTACTCAATAATTTATGTAGGTTATTGCTGCTGAAGGTGAATGGAAAGCTTCACGTGCATTGAAAGAAGCCGCTGATGTCATTACTCTATCACCATTTGCTGTACAGCTAAGATATTTACAAACACTGAGTACAATATCAGCGGAGAAGAATTCAACTATTATCTTCCCGCTACCAGTTGATTTAGTTACACATTTTATGCACAATAATCACGGGTCGAATAGCAATAGTAATAAGAAAAATAATAATAATAACAATAATGTTGATAACAATACTCCTAGTCAAGTAAAAGTAGTACCACCACCACGTCTTGGTCTTATCGATAGTGGAAGTAATAAAAAGCTGTTAGATACTATCCCCACGACAATACCAGTTATCGGTGGGACAACAATAATCGCTAGCAGTGGAGTTATGTCACCGCCTGTACCTGTTGTCATCGGTGGAGAAATCCCGTTTACCGACAGTAACAATAACAATACTAATAGTAATAACCAATATAATGTTTAAAGCAATGCCTGTATACATTTCTTTCGATATGATCACTGTTATCAATTTATTTTTCAACACAAAGAAAATAAAATGAACTTAAAAACGCAAATCTGATCTGTATTTATAATCCTGATTTATGTGTGTGTGGTTTTTTTGTTTCTCAATTTATTTTAATTTCATCTCTTTTTCAACGATTTGTGTGCGTATCTCATCGTCTACAAATGAACTAATATCAGTACACATATATATTGCATTTCTGCTGATCTAATCAAGCTCGTCTGACCAATGTAGACAGTAATATCAGGCAGAGGTCTACAGAAACCATATGTTTGTATTACTCATTTTTGTCAGTTGATTCATCTCACTGTCATCTTGTTCCATGGTTCTACCTTTCATCTTCAGCGTAATCTGTCGTCATCACCATCATCGTCATCATCATCATCACCAGTATTATTACTGTTGTCAAAAGAAAGATGATTAATTCTCATTGCATTTTAGGCTTGATGATAACGCATAAATATCAGTGTGCTGTATGTTTCACTTCACAGTGCAATATTACTTACTGCCTATCATGTCCAATGATCACACCACCAAAGATGATATGCATTCCTCAGTGAGCAACTAAATAAGGCGTCGAAAATAAACGACTGTGTAAATATCATGTGATTTGAGGATGAAACAAATGAATTTAATGAAGTAGAATTCTTAATTTTACAATCATGAAACGAGCACATTTACACCTGCCTAACTACTATCCGCCCCCTTTTCTCAAGTATTGAATCAATGTTTCAATGTTTTCATATTCTTCGCTATTTTTGTTCAATTTATTTATGTGTATTGAAAAAACAAAAATGGGAATCACGCATACAGAAGAATACGTTCTCTGTTTTCCTCAACAACACTGACATACATAGTTTTACTCTCCTCTAACTCCTTATTTATTATTATTACTTACTTTGGTTTTTAAGTGTTTGTCTGTTCTTACAGTACTCTCTCCTTATCTTCATGTGTCAGTCTGATGTAATTCTAGTCCTTGTGTGTATTTTCTTATCTCCGTCTGTCGCCTATATTGTTAGGCGTCCTAATTATATATATATATATATATATATATATACAACCTAGAACTGTTCATTCCCTATAGTTTATTCTAGTCATACAGCATTTTAGAAAAGGTTTGTTTTTTAAACCCCCTTATGCGAATGGGTGAACAAGAGACGCAGGTACCATTCATTCGGTTGCATGCATAATTCAGTGGTAACCAGTTTAATGGTTTATCTATCCATTCTCTTGTTTTTTAATTTAACTCCTCTGAGGGATTTATCCAAACTTTGTTGTGTATTTATTGACTGAAATTGTTTGTCATTTACACTCTGTTTGATCGAACATAAAATGCTAAAAGTGAGATCAAGCATTCATACATTTGTGTGTGTGTGAGAGAGAGAGAGAGTACACAGCTGTATCGGGTTCTCAGTGTGTGCGTTTCGGAGAATAATGTTACTTATTACTTCTAGTATTTCTGTCGTTTCTGTTTCTAAAGTATATTCTTGTAAGTTATTTATAAGAGATGTATTTAAATATTCACGTAAACATATTTACATATACTACAAACGAAGTACCAAGTTTAATTATATTACCCCTTATAAATAAAGATAATACTACTAATAATAAAACTTACTACAAAAATTATAGTATTTCTCAGTTGCTTTTTTCACTTGTGATGTGATGTTACATAGAAGAAAGGGTGGCAATTAAAAAAAGTCGATTTTGTCAGGTTGTAATGTCGCCACCATTCTGAGTAGCTCGTCATCACTGTGCACGTTGATTTCATGATATTAGATGGTTGGAGGCAATCGGCCACAGAAAGCCTTGAACCTAAGTTTCGTGCCAGTTGGCACTCACTGGTCAGCAAGGTGCATCTGCAACCTCCTTGAAGGAACTCATGTCTCTTCTAAGATTCGAACCCGCCTCCAACCATCTAATATCATCAAATCAATGTGCACCGTGATGGCGAGCTACCTAGAATGGTGGCTGCATTACAACATGACTGATAGAATTCAGTCTGCACCAATGACGGGACTAGACACATCACACTAATTACTAGTGTCCAATCAAAGTATCCAATACAGTCCTACAGGAGGTCAATCGTGAACCCGAATAGCTCAGTGGTGACGTCTCTGACTGTAGCTCTCACTGGGTGATGCGGTTTCGAATCTCAGAAGGGACATGAGTTCCTTCAAGACAGTTGCAGATACGCCTTGCTGAATAGTGAGTGTCAACTAGCACGAAACGTAGGTCCAAGGCTTCCTGTGGCCGATTGCCTCCAACCACCTAATATCATCAAAAAGTCGATTTATCGAGAGTCAACATTTACAGGGCGGTACACTAACTTCAAACGGTAGGATACCTTCTAGGTAGAAAGAGAAATCTTATCCGTTCTCTATGCCCTATAGATATGGTCGACATTGAACTAGAAAAGCTTGGTACAACTCTTTTTTTCAAATAATAGATATCTTAGAAGGTTTATTGACAGAAAAACCAAGAGAGAAACCGTCGCCAGGGAAATCTCAGTGCCAAAGAAGATGGTGTTTATGAGTTTCGCGTTCAAAGGTGACTCTATTGCTGAAGTGATTATTATTATTACTGTTCCCTTGGGTTCTTCGTGGAACATAAGGCTTCAACTGCACGTCTCCACTTGCCACTTCTGTCTTTATACTGTACATTTCACCTGCATCCATGTTAGCCCATACTGTTTCAACTACTCTTCACACGATCTCCTCTATGTCAACCTTGCTCCGAAGACCCACTCGCCGCTCCCCTTTCGGCCTGGTTCCACTCGAGCAATGACCTGACGCACGCGCGATGCCACCCAGCGGTCTCCTCAGCGAGTGTCTGATCCATCTCCACTTTCTCCTCCATATTTGTTGGGCGATTGGTTATTGTTTTGTTTGTTAGTGCCCATAGTTTCTTGTCGGTAATTCTTTCCGGCCCGGTCATCTGATCTTCAGTATAGAGCGAAGACAGTTGTTGATGAAGGTCTGCAACAGGCTGTTGGAAATCTTGTTTGTGACCCGCCAAGTTTCTGATCCGTATAGAAGAACTGGCTTGACGTTTATATTGAAAATCCGACTGAATTTTGTTGTTGATGTTGGCTGAGTGACGAAGATTACCAGAAGTGATTAAAAGTAGTTTATCTAAATGTGTTAAACGCTGTTTCTTTGCAGCTGACTTACATTTAGTATTTACCAACCAAGATATGATTAGAAAATGCGTGAAGGATAGGCTACCGCTTATATTTATCTCTATGTGCATTCACTCATTCATATACTCGTGTGCAGCTGATCATATTGGACGTTAAAAGTGTTATCTCAGTAAACACATAGGTGAACACTACCTGGTTTGGTTAATGAAAGATGAACAAAGGAAGACAAAGTCTTCAGTCTGTGAAAACCTCCTGGTGTGAGGTTATTCAGGCAGCACGTAAATTATCCTTTAAATTTATCTAGAGAACCAAATCCAATCCAAAAGCTTACGTTTTCTCCTCTTATACATAACCGAAGCTCTAGCTATACATTGACAGAAACCTAAATTATGTTCAAAAAAGCGTTTTGTTAAATGCCTTTCTCTCTACCTTGGTCATAGTGATGTTCTTTTATTTGATTTTTTTATTTACCACTTGAATTCATTCCACCTTACTTCATATTCGCCCTCTTTACAGCTATCATCATCGCGCTGTTAATTTTATAGACAACACGTGATCTACATTTTTTAAAACTTCATACCAGTTCATTTATTCAATAAGCTTTAAAAGTTTTGTAATTCATCAAATTAACTCTACCCTCTTAGTACATTATTTTAATTATCTTTACTCAAATCACAAGTGTATATTGACTGAGCAATTTCTAGTGCCATTTAATGCTTTTTTCCGTAATATAATTACGACTATACAGCTTAAAAAAGAAGTCGTTGAAAAAAAGACATTTCTTCGCTTATCAAAAAACTGTGTTTCTACCTATGATTTCATAGTTTTAATCCAGAGGCAGATTTGTTATTGAGGATAGAAAGCTTGAAGTCTATGTTAATCCTTTTCTAGAAAATTTCTGTGCATTTGCAAACCCTTCTTGAATGAGTCAACTGAGGGCTCTGTAAGTCAGTTCCATGAGTTGATTACTCGGTGTGGCGATCAGTACTCCACAGCGATATGGTTTCTTCTTGGTTCCTGAACTCTCCTTCTGTGTCCTTTGAGATCTTCCGACTTGGTGGGGGAGAGGGACAAAGAAGATAGATCAGATATGTAGTCTCTGATCTTCCTGTGGCATAACAAGAAGGTATAACAATTCTCTGGCCATATGATGAATTGATTCAACCAAGAATCTTATGTATTGCACTCCTTTGAACCATTTCTAGAATATTTGGGCCCCCTTTAAGACGAGAACTGGCTATCTGGCCAAAGTATTTCAGTCCTGACCATACCTTATATGTCTCTCTGGTGCTTTTCGTAAACGCTCTGCGTCCTACGCATAAAAATCTGAAACTAGGAGCTGCCACTGCGAGGCAGTGTGCTGTAGTTTTCAAGTCGTGACTGACTAAGACACCAAGATCCAAATTAATCTGAAATGATACGAGTGTTATTTCTTCTAGTTCGTATAACCCGACGTTTATGTGTCCACTTAATAAGGCGGCGCATTTCACTATATTGATCAGGAGTGTCCATGCTTCGGATCACTTTAAAGATTTGCTGAGATCTCCTTGCAAAGTGAAAACATCATTTTTTTTCCTTCAGCTCATTCTAAATATTTAAGTCATCTGCGTATACAATCACAGGGGAATAAGTGAGTACAGACAAATCACTGATAAACAAGATGAATAAGAGGGGCTCGAGTACGGTGCCTTGTAACACTCCGCTACGTACTGTTTTCCGGGAGTTTTCATCGTCCTTATTTTCATAAATCGTCCCATTTTTCACTGTTTCTATTAAATCAACTATTATTAGTGGTAGTATGACAATTCGCAAGATTTAT